CAAAACCCCAAAACCCCAAAACCCCAAAACCCCAAAACCCCAAAACCCCATAGGATTCATCGAGTAGTTTAATCGAGAGAAAAGTAAAATCTTGCCACCTTTAAAAGATATAATTTTACTGCCATCCCTTTGATTACCTTGATAGATATTTATTTAAAATGAAAAGGATTTCGCTTGGAATTTTAATTCTACTCTCTCTTGCTTCCATCTCGCTTGGACAGACACCTCAAGAATGTAAAGAATGTGCAGCTGATCCATGTGGATGTACTCTCTTTAAATGCTCTAAGAAGACACAGTTCCCTGCAGACACTCAGGACCTTAGTAAGGGCTTTGGTGGGTGCTAGCGAAATGATGGGAAACTGGTTGATGGTGATATTGTCTCCCAATTATAAGGTAATTGCTATACCTATAGACAAATATTGATGAAAACTGCAAACAAATTGGGAACAGAGGAATCATTCTTGGCACTGGCTATGATCTCACTGGAGAGAGTGCTGAGGGCTTAAAGACTCTTGGTCTGGATGATAAACTATTGGCAAAGCTGAGCCCATATTTTGTGAAGTAGGAGGACCCAGTTAAGTTTCTAATGACTAATCCTGTGGAATTCAGTCTTCAAGAAATCCAAGCCTTTGAACTCATTAAGTTAGCTGCTAAGGTTAATGATCTCTAGAAGGCATACGATGATAACCTTTTCAACGACAGCAAATACGGAGAACTAAGGGAAGTCAAGCCTAAGTTTGCTGAATTGAGTAGAGGAACGAGGACTGTGCTCTTCTCGTAAGATAGAAAATATGGAAGCCCTGCTAACTTCAATCAACTGTGGAATTAGGCACTTAGAGTGGACTTTCAAAGCATTATGGGATAGTTGAACAAGGAAGGTTAAACCAGCGATAGAAGCCTCGCAGAGGGTCAGATTCTAAAGTACTGCATGGAAAAATGCTCGGAATCAAAAAAGGTGAACATTTTGTTTGTGATGGACGCATCAGGAAGTATTGGACGAGATAACTTTAAGACTCAAACCGACTTCGTACGAAATCTTATTCAAAACACAAAGGTAGGAGAGGATTCCTACCAAATTGGACTACTACTATTCTCAAATAACAATCAGCTGCTCAGTGATTTTAGCGCAGACCAAGCTGCTTTACTTACTGCACTAGATAAAATAGCATATCGTGGAGGAGGAACCTATACCAACGCAGCTCTACTTGAGGCTAAAAGATTATTTACAGTTCAATCTAGCAAAAGGCCCGACTCGTTGAATATCATGTTTGTTCTCACAGATGGAGTACCTACTGATACAATTGTGGATTCAACCATTTCATCGCTGAAAGCTCTGGAGGTCTAAAGATATGCCGTCGGAATAGGCTCAGGGATCGATCAAGATGTATTGATGCTCATCTCAGGAGATAACAATTAGGATAAATCCAGAGTCTATCAGGTTACAGACTTTAACAAGCTCAAGTCACTAATCAACTCTATCAACGTTGCTGCTTGCTCTACACCATAGGAAATAGAGAGTGACAAGAAAACCTTTGGGACCACTCTAGATGGCCAAGGATCTTAATACTTCTAACTCGTGGAGAAAAACGTATCCCTCATAATTGACGTCAATGATCTTGCTAAACCTTCACCTCCTCTTTCAGCAGATTGCAAACCATTATCAGCTAGCGATGGTGAGACTGTCTTCTATCTTGGTGATGTTGAGGTCTACTATTCATTCACCTATGACATGCCAAATCAGTTTATAAATGATGGTGCTGGTGGGCAAAAAGATGGTAGGATCTCACTTCTTATCAACAATAACAAATCTAATATAAGTAAGATAAGCAATTCTCATAACATTTATTAGCATACGTTGCTTTGAAGAAACGGTGTGCAGGCAAGATTGGACTCTCTCTCAAGCAGGAGAAGTTAGAATCAGAGAAATGTGAAAAAGGTTGCACTCTTTGTGATGAGCAACTTCAATGCAGAGTGTGCGATGCAGGCTATGAGCTTGTATCTGGCAAATGCAACTAGAAACTACTACCTGCTGTGTCTAAAAAGCTTGCAGAACCAACTGATAATAATGATAACTAACCACCTCCAACTAATTCTGAGAATAAGACTGAGACAAAGACTGAAAAAGAATCTGAAGCTGCTAAACCTGAACAACGTGCAGAGCAATCTGAGACTGAGCCTGAGAGCTCAAAAGGTTGGTTGATCTTTTTGATAGTTGCCTTGAGTTGTGCCTGCTGCGGATTTTGGATCTTCTTTATCTGTAGAAGAAGGAGAGATAAAGAGGAACAACACCGCCATGATAACTATTTACTGCAAAAAGATAACCAAACTGGCTAGACGCCCCAATGAACAAGAGATATTATTTGAACTGAGAGAAAATACTCATAACTTACTTAATTTCATTTAATCTAGATTCTAAAATATTACTTTTTTTGCACACTGGGGTTTTGGGGTTTTGGGGTTTTGGGGAGATCGGAAGAGCACACGTCTGAA